GTGGTAAGTACACGTGGCGTTGTTGCTATTAATTCTATGTAGATATATATGTACTCATTGGCCCAAATTCACAAAGGAGGTTTGTTGACAAACCTTGGTTTTCGTGCGTCATATGAGGCGTTTCGACGCATTTTTACAAACCAGGTTTGTAAAAAACGCGTAAAAACGCGTCATAATGACGTACGAAAACCAAGGTTTGTCGACAAACCTCCTTTGTGAATTCGGGCCATTGAGTACGTCATGATTTATCAAATCATGCTTAATATATATTTTTTTAGAATTAGAGCTTCGAACTTTGAAAGTAATAGGCTCATATAGCCACGATAGCCGTTTCTGATTGGGTTGATTACTGAGGTAAAATAAAGTTAGGGAATAATTGACCTTAGTTGAGCCAATAAAAAAACACGAATTGAACTTGAATGAGTCAAAAGGCCAGGCTCTTCTCAATTCTATGTGTATTTTTCTCCCTTTCTTTTCCTCTTGCAAATATCCTTTCAGTCTTTCCCAAATGAGACAGTGTGCGTGTGGCTTGACGAGAAAATGAGGTAAGTTTTAGTAAAGGCAACTCATCCGATTATTAAAAATCCCTGTAAAATCTTAGATTATGTATCAGCCAAATAAATAAAGATTTCCAAGGAAGACAGAAAAAAAGTTTCCTGTATAAACATTAATCGGATTTTCAAAAGGCAAGTGAATGCAAGGTCTTCTAAACGTTTTATTCAGGTAGTGTATACGCACTACTGCATGTGTATAATTGTTTGTGGAAGCTTTTATTTAATGCTGAAAACATTTATCGTGATATCGACGGTTACATACTTAGTTTCATCAATAATTATAATGAAAATATGGAAAAGAATTATTTTCTTTATCAGCGATATTGTAATTGTTATTGTAGTCGTCATCATCATTATCATCGTCGTGATTATCTTCAATGTTATTATCGTTATTATTCTTATTATTATCCTTCTTATTTCTATTGATATTATCAATTTCATTATTATTGTAAGAATTAGTAGCAGCAGTAGTAGTAGTATTAGTAGTAGTAGTACACTGTAGTATTGTTATTGTTGTCGTCATCATCATTCTCATCGTAATTATCTATTTTCATCCTATAGTAACCATGACAACAACATATGGAGTACTAGTGGATGTGTTACCATCAACGAAACAGGAGCCGGAATCAGATGTGAATGTGATCACCTGACAAGCTTCAGTATACTCATGAAGGTCACAGAGTATGACGTGAGCAGTCTCTTCTTAAACAATTGACTTAATACAAAAAAAAACGAATAAATACATGAATATGAATTCTAAAAAATTAATGAATACATAAAAGTAAACTGTTTAAATTGACAAAAATGGCTGCCTTACATCAACGTATTTGTTTGCAATTCGCACGCACACTTAAAAACAAGATGGTTTATATCCTTGTCCGCACGTTTTAAGTACTGAGCAATGAGGTCTTATATCGATTTTCCATGTTAGCCTCAAAGTAGCAATTTTTGCTTTTTGTCGTTGCAAGCACTGGCGACGAAGGACGCATGTTTCCCAAAGTGCCAAAATGCGTTCTGTTTGTTTGTTTGTGTGTTTGTTTAGTTGTTTTGCTGAACAGACTATTGAGCATATGAATAGATAAGGTAGCAATGTAAATCGTTCCTCAAAGTTTTCACGTTCCTTCCATAGAAAGTGATTTCCCGATCTTTTTAATACCTAAGCGAATTTTTTTGGGTGATAAATTAAAAAATAAAAAACTTTTTGAAGCATCATTATGATCAGGATATGGTGTTATTTACAACTCTGCACGATCTCAAATCAGTTTCACTTTATCCGACCGGAAGTAACTCATGTGTGATAATGAATATATCAAATTCGCTAATTCTATACCGAGTTTCTATCTTTCGTACAAGCTATTTTCAATACTATATCTCGTTTTTATTGGCGGTTCAACTTTTTAAATTATTTTTTCTAGATACCTATGATCCACGGTAAAGTTTTGTCTATTTTGACATTCATCGGGTGTGGTGTATCCATCGTGTGCGCTATTCTCATCGTTATACTGTTCCTATGTTTCAGGTTTGTATTTAGTTCAAATGTAAGAGCCCTGGTCAGGCATCGAATTCCAGGGATAGTATTAGTGCTGATGATAGTACAAAGTAATATATTTGTCATATAATATATGAATAAAATGGAGGGGCGATGGCTTAGTGGTAGAGCAATGGCCACATAGCCAGAAGATCCTGGATTCGAAACAAAAGTGATGCGCTGCTGCCATTTGGAAATGCGTTAAATCCTCATTACCAAGTCCCTCGGAAACGATTTCTGGCCGTTGATCCCCTAATTAGAAACATATTGCATTAAGTGCTCTAGCAATACAATGTATTGTTATTATTACTCACGTAAAAGCATACTTGCATTCGTAGCATTTGGATAAAACAAACAATCAAAACCTCTAAACCATCAAAAACATTTATCATTGAGAAATTTTGCAGAAAACTCCACCTTGAAAGGAAAGGTCAGTCACCTATTATATATTTTCATATTGAGATAAAAAAATCTATCATATCAGAGCAATTACCAATTAAAATAGAAAAATATGTTCGGGGGCTAGCTGCACAAACTATAATTGTATTAAACAACCAAAGGGCTGATTGGTAATGTTAAAGGGCCACATTTTGTCATGATTAGTAAACACGGTTAATGATTGTTTGATATTGATGGTATTTTCTCTGTTTCCCACTTTAATCTGAAAGGTTGATGAAAGAAGAACGAATTCTCCATTCCATGTTACTTGTGGCTATTGCAGCAGGACAACTGACATTTCTTGTTGGAATAGATCGAACAGATAACAAGGTATAAACACCGATGTCTTAGAATCCTTACCTCCTCCAGTACCTCCTTAATTTTCTCTTAGGCCTACATAAATGCGTGACCGTCCAGGCGCCATTTTGTCCGTTTTTGGTCCGTTTTTATGCCCTTCTCTCTGCCTTCCTATCTTTACTTTTCTAAAGGCCACAGACTCCTAACAAATTGTTGTAGATGGTCCAAGGGATGCTCGTACATCGTAGAAACAGCGGCGTCAATGCATGCATATTGTTCTAATACGATTTCGGTTCTAGTTGTTCATCTTGTTCATATTCTCCATTCTCTATCTTCCCTCCTTTACCGTATTAGCCTGATAGTGTTTTTCCCCTATTGAAGGCCCTGTTTCCTAAAACCTATTATCAGTAACGGACCGTTACTGATAATAACGGTTGTCATATTTCTATAACTATCATACAATAAAATGCAGTGATCTCAGTATCTTATGACAGCAATATTTATTGATTAAATGGTTTGTGAAACAGGGGCCAGATTTGCAATCCTTTTTTTAAAAGAAAAGAACACATTTTCGACATGTTCAAGATACTCCCAATCAACATTCAGCCCTTGTTTGGCTGTTACCGTTGGGGCCAGATTTGCAATCCTTTTTTTAAAAGAAAAGAACACATTTTCGACATGTTCAAGATACTCCCAATCAACATTCAGCCCTTGTTTGGCTGTTACCATACTACTTGCATTCGTAGCATTTGGATAAAACAAACAATCAAAACCTCTAAACCATCAAAAACATTTATCATTGAGAAATTTTGCAGAAAACTCCACCTTGAAAGGAAAGGTCAGTCACCTATTATATATTTTCATATTGAGATAAAAAAATCTATCATATCAGAGCAATTACCAATTAAAATAGAAAAATATGTTCGGGGGCTAGCTGCACAAACTATAATTGTATTAAACAACCAAAGGGCTGATTGGTAATGTTAAAGGGCCACATTTTGTCATGATTAGTAAACACGGTTAATGATTGTTTGATATTGATGGTATTTTCTCTGTTTCCCACTTTAATCTGAAAGGTTGATGAAAGAAGAACGAATTCTCCATTCCATGTTACTTGTGGCTATTGCAGCAGGACAACTGACATTTCTTGTTGGAATAGATCGAACAGATAACAAGGTATAAACACCGATGTCTTAGAATCCTTACCTCCTCCAGTACCTCCTTAATTTTCTCTTAGGCCTACATAAATGCGTGACCGTCCAGGCGCCATTTTGTCCGTTTTTGGTCCGTTTTTATGCCCTTCTCTCTGCCTTCCTATCTTTACTTTTCTAAAGGCCACAGACTCCTAACAAATTGTTGTAGATGGTCCAAGGGATGCTCGTACATCGTAGAAACAGCGGCGTCAATGCATGCATATTGTTCTAATACGATTTCGGTTCTAGTTGTTCATCTTGTTCATATTCTCCATTCTCTATCTTCCCTCCTTTACCGTATTAGCCTGATAGTGTTTTTCCCCTATTGAAGGCCCTGTTTCCTAAAACCTATTATCAGTAACGGACCGTTACTGATAATAACGGTTGTCATATTTCTATAACTATCATACAATAAAATGCAGTGATCTCAGTATCTTATGACAGCAATATTTATTGATTAAATGGTTTGTGAAACAGGGGCCAGATTTGCAATCCTTTTTTTAAAAGAAAAGAACACATTTTCGACATGTTCAAGATACTCCCAATCAACATTCAGCCCTTGTTTGGCTGTTACCGTTGGCAAACCACTCTTAGACTGGATTATTTGTTATGCAATTATGACATTTATATTTCTATAGTCCTACTCCAATTTGTCTATCGCGAAGTGATTTTATAATTGGCATACATCCCTTCTATCTAATCCATTCTGAATGAATTTCATAAGACCTCCAATATTCACAGTTATTCATGTAAGCTTTTTAGATTTTTAAATTTTTTAAATTCCCCTTCCATACATGCTCCAAGAAAAAAGTTATAAAAAAAGCATTTCTTTTTGTACTGGTTTGTCTTTAGATCGGATGCAAAGTGATTGCCATAGTGATTCAGTTTTTCATGACAGCGAGCTTTTCTTGGATGTTGATTGAATCAATCTATCTTTATCGTCACGTGGTAAAAGTGTTCTCATCTAGTGTTAACATCATCTACTATGTCATGGCCGGATGGGGTAAGCCATTGTCAACGGCAACCTCTTTTTTTTTTTTTTTTTTTTTTTTTACGGTGGAGGGGTAATATCTGAAAATTACATGAAAAAAAATAACATCTGTCCCAAAATGTATGGAAACGTCGTTATGTATGATGTGGTATAATAATAATAGATACATGTTGTATAATAATAATGACGAGAATTTGAATTCGTCACTGAAGACGAATAAGGTGGTCTGTAATGATAATGATAATTACAAAAATAATTAGAAATAGCTTCTCTTCGATATGACATATTGTCATTAACTTTGTTATCACAAAATATGGATTTAAGAAAAAGGTCGTTCAACATATATCTTTGCAAGTTTTACTTCTAAAAAATGGGAGTTAACAGCTTCACCATGGAAAGTTTACACCTAACATTTATGTTGTTTTTCTTACATTTCAATAGGTGTGCCGATTGTATTGGTTGGTATTTCTCTTGGGATTTCTTTTGATCATATACCGAGCAAAAACTTGTGAGTATAACATATTATGGTTCCGATTTGCATTCATTGTTTCGGCTCGATGCTTTGTACTGTAAAGTTACTTCATTAGATCGTATTAAATCCAGTGGCGTTTCCAGAAAATTACTTATTTCGTTCCATCGAGTCTCTGGGTCGGGTCGGGTCGGGTTGCGAGATCTTGACGTATCGTGAATAAGGAGATATGTTTTCACGAGAGTTTGTTTACCCGACGCGATGACCCGAGCGCGAAGACCCAGTGGCCGAAGTAAGCCCTCATAAAATGATATACAGCCGGCAGATTTATCCCCACACGGATGGGGTGAGGCGCCATGTATGTAGACGAACCAGCGCCTAATGCATATAAAGCAATTGCTAGTTTTATTGGTTTTTCCCCTGCAAGGGTTCTGGCGTGCGCATGTGTCTCTCTTCTTGATAAAATTTGTTCCACTAAATTTGAAGTGTAGAAACCACAGTGAATATTGAAATTGTCCAGACGATGTAAATGAAGGGTAGAGCACATAATAAATAATTCAATCATTGGGCCTTGCTTAATACAACTCTTTGTACAGGACCTACATTTATCTTTACCCTAACATTACCAGGTACCCATTTACAAATGGTTACGGAGTTGCACATGTAGATTATAGTCTTGCCAAAGAACGTAAGTGCTGGGATGGGATTCGATCCCTCAACCCAGGGATTGCGAGTCAAGTGAGTGAACCACTATACCATGGCCTCCATTTTCACCAAACACTGGTATTTTTTCCTTATTTGCAGCTGCTGGTTATCGACCGAGGGCGGGGCGATTTATGCGTTCGTCGCACCTGCTTTAGCCGTTATAGTCGTAAGTAGGCTACAAAATCATTACAATACTAATAGATCATTAATCTAATTATTAAGTATTTTAAAAATGCAAAACGATTTCTATGAACAATGCTATCTAAATCAGTTTTGGTATGCGAACCATTTAAAATGCTTAAAAGTTATAAGGCTTGGGCGAAATTGTCCTTAACTTGTCACAGAAAAAGGTCATAGGGTTCTCAATTTTATTAATCATGTAATTGTAAGTATTCATAATTGCAAGCCGTTGGCTTTTCTGAAAGATTAGTTAAAGTCATTTGTAATCATTCTGACATGCTATCTTTAATTTTTTTAATTACCATTTATTTTCACCTCCGACATTTTCACCTGTTATACTTTTAGCTGTGATATTTTACTTGGCACCATTATAACTACCGTCTAAAAATTCTCTCCTAAGGATATTATAATCCTAGATGATAGTTATCCGGGAGTAGTTGTCCACGACTAGTTGTCCGGGTGGTAGACCAGAGGATGGTACTGTTGTCCTAAAATTGTAAAGCGCAGTAAATTGTAGGTGCTATAAGTAGCAAAGAGACATGGGCAGTGTTTCACAAAGACTAAGATCGTCTTTAAGTTGGACTTAACTATGGCAGGCCATTCTTGCCACTGTTTTCTCTCACCATTTCCTGGCATTGGTTTCTCAAAGAACTTACAAATTGTGGTCACAAATCTTCTGAACTTACCTTTTTTGATAGTTCATTATTGAAGGAAAAATGCTATCTAAAGATCATAATTGAGAGACCAATGGTGAAAGCGACCAGTGGCATGAATGTCCTGCCTTGGTTAAGCCCAAGTTAACTTTAACTTGGTCTTTATGAAACACCCCCCCCCCCTTGGCGTCATAATGAGATACTATCTTGTCTTTCTAACTCGAAACAGATAAACATCGTCCTGCTGGGCATCGTGCTACGAGAGATTAGACGAATCATCGATCGGGATATCACAAAAATCGATGTGTCAAAAGCAAAGTAAGTGTACCTCTATCATTAATTATCATTAATAATTTACAATAATCGGTATATTTTTGTTTATACCTACACGTTTCCACAACACTTTGCGTGAAACAAGTTGGCGGCTTTAATATTTTTTTAAGATGATAAGACTTTTAAGTCTTTTTCCTTAAAGGGAGTGTAGCCTGACGAGACCACTGTCTTTCCCGTGGCCTGACTCGGGGCCAATCGGGTATATCACGTGCGTGCAACATACGCGAAACCGAAGCGTGAAGAGAACTTCGGTTTCTTTCGCGAACGCTGACCACGTAGAGATTAAGTCGGTTCGTTTTTGTGCAGTTGTCCAAAAGGAGACGTAGATGGCATTTACCAATATTCGCCAAGATACACTCCCTTTAATACTTAAATTTTAATAATCTTGACTTTATACATTCATCTTTATCTTTATTACCTTTATCAATATCTTCCATATGAATGGTATGGTATCGTTTTTTTCTCTATTTTTGAATCCCACTCTCTCTCTCTTTCTCTCCCTACCTTCCTCCTTTCCATCATTTATCTTCCTCCGCATCCTACTCCTCCCCTTCCTTTCTTCCTCTTCCGTCTCTCTCTCTCTCCTCATTTCCCTGTCCTCGTTTCCCCTCTCAAGTTTCTCCGTTCCCATCACCTTTCTTCCGCCTTCGCTTCTCTTCTCTTGTTTTCTTGTTTGGTTGTATTTCTGCATTTTTCAACATGATAGTAAGTAAAATGCAAACTATAGGTACATATTTATCATGAACAAAAGCTAAAATGCATATATAATCATACCATAATATTAATGCATTAAATAATTATACTTTTAATTTAGTTGACAAATCGTTTCAAAATTGAATTTTTTTTTAATAGAACCACAGCTAAGGTCCTCCTTGTATTTACACCTGTGATGGGAGCGCCTTGGGTGTTTGGGATCCTTGCCATCAACGAAGACACCGTCATATTTGACTATCTCTTCACTGCACTGAATAGTTTTCAGGTAAGAGAATGACACTCTTTGGTTGGGCCCCAACAAAACAAAAAATCATTATTTCCAAATAGATTATAAACCTTGTTTTACCTACAAGATTTTGCATTTATTGATATGACTGTTTGCAATTTTAAAAGGTATTTTACATGACTAATTATTTAGGGATTTTTTTTTTGCACAAAAAACTATGCCGACATTTGGTTGACTGTAAAAGATTTGCCCCATGCCTTACGTACACCCTGCCTCGCATTGAACATTGAGGGCTCTATATTCCCTACATTATTCGTTGTTTTCCAAGCATTTGCTTGTACTCGGTTTTCTGAAGTTGTGTCTGATTGTTGATATTTATATATTTACAGGGGCTGATGATTTTTCTCATCCACACAGTTGGGAATAAAGAGGTACGTATAATATTCTCGAGTCATCTGTCAACTTAATTGTTACGTAATTTGTAATAGACGGTGAAAAATTATTACCCAAACGTGTATCCAACACTCTTTTAATAGTCTTCCCCCATTTTAGAGGAAAATACAACCAAATTGCTCTAAAAGAAGGCAAGAAATATACAGAAGCGGATTAGTGAAAGTTTTAACTAAATCGAGCAAACAAACAATATGAAAGTTCTGAAGTTTTCAAAGTTGTAATCACTTTACGTTTAAAGTGATTCAAATCGGCCGAGTCAGTAATGGCACTGTGGTGAAGTGGCGGACAGCTTTTCCATCTGCTGTGACACAAAAAGTTAGTATATGTAATTTTTTTCAAAATGTATGACTCGGGAGTCTCTTTTCAATTAGATGTTTAATATCCACAATTATCTTTAAGACCTATACATGTTACCTCCACCGCCCCCCCCCAACCGGATAGGGCTACTGAGTCTCTGTCTGTCTGTCTGTCTCTCCCTCTCTCTCCCCCTCTCTCTCTCTCTAAACCCCACTCCTATAACTTTTTACCATTTTTTTTACTTTCCTATTTTAACAAAAATCTTTATGTCAATTCTCTTCTCCTCTTCGATTCATAGTTTCGTTCAAAAGTCTACCGCGGGAAAAGGACGGTTGACCCATTCTCGAGCAGCAGAGGGCGCAGTAATCTTTCAAGCAGCGGTGTCACCACGACAACAGTCGTTCCGATTAAAAGAGAGGTTCTTATTTAAAGACCGTCAATGCTACTGGGCCAAAAGGGATTAGACCACACAGCAAGGTCACTGGCAGGTGGCTATCTCATTAACTCAGCTCTCAACTAACATAAGAAATAGAGGATCATGGGGGACCAACTGGCACCGATTGGGGAAGTTTTCTATATAGAGGGAGCAAGTAGCTACAAGTAGGACAGTGGGGCTTAACTCCTGTTTTCCAATAAGGCTGCAGGCACAAACCCTCGTCTGTCGTAAGGTTGTCACAGATTGTCTGGAACTGTTAGACTTTTTAAGAATCAACCGTCTGATGCACTTCATGTATGCCCTCTAGGGTTGACTGAAGTCATTCAGATCCCCATTCAATTTGAAATCTTAATTTCAGTTTCAAAATTCGAACCTAGCTATTGGTGGAATTCGATTTAATGCTTAGAGTCTCCGAAGTGAGGTGCCCGGCAGATTGGGGCATCTTTCCACCTCAAATAATTTGTGAAGGCTGAAACGTGGCTCAACATAGGTCTTGGTCTATCCAAGTCTAGTAGGTCCATGGTCTATCATAATATGAGTTGGTCTAGCGGCACGGTCACTTGGTCAGCTCTCTGTCTTTGCCTACAAACTGGCTTAGGGGACCCCGGTTCGACACTGAGCCACATCATTCGGAGGTCGGTCCCCAGACGTAAGTAATGATATCTGATTCATACAAGTCTAAAAATACCCAAGTACACACACACACACACAAGCACACACATCTCAACAATTCGCAAACTGAAACAGCAGAAATACACAGAGATAATTAATGTAAATGTAAATTTAAATTTAAATGATCCATTAACAAAATTTTAGTGCGAAAAAAAAATGGGTTCACAAACAATAGCTTGAAGAGTATAATAATAATGAAAATATTGGTATTTAACATGCATTCGGGAAGTTAAGTTGAATATGATATGACATAATTGAGGTGAAAATTAAGGTGTAGGCGTAAAATGAACTGGGAGAACTTTCTACTCACAAATCATATTCTGGATTGGTTTCGATTGAAGACTGATATAATTACATGCAGCTATATACGACTCGGAAGAAAAAGTATCACAGGAAAAATGCCCAACAGGTCAATGATTGATGTAATATTATGTAGATTTAGTTGCGCATCATCTGATGTAATTTGCAACTAATATACATGGTATAGACCATGCCAATTTGGACCACCCAGGACAGAGTCACTTATTCCCCTATTTAAAGGGAAAGATGGAATTTTAAAAGTGTCAAGAAAATAAAGGAAATTAAAGAAAAAATTGAGAGGAATGTCAGAAATATTGAACGATGGGATGGCTCGACATGTGCCTCAGGAGACGAATTAATTTCAAGTAGGCCTATACGAACAAAAAACACAGTTCTATAAAATTGTCTATAAGAGAGAAAGAGACATTATTTCTAAAGTGAAATATTAGGGGCTTTGTGACTTTAAAAGAATTACAATTGATATCGCTCGTGATTTCTAAATTGTTACAAAATCAAGAACTTCGGGGGCTCCGCCCTCTAGACCACCGGCAGAGGTTCTGCCCCTTAATTGACCCCATCCGTACAGATAGGAGCAGTTCTCAACCAAGATGCATACAATTGTCCTATATTAGGAGAGAGTGTACGTGCTTTGTGTATTTTAAGCTTCTACCAACCTTACAATTTAGTAGGCCAGTCTTGCTTGCTGCTGTCTCGAGATCTCTGGAGCGAAGATAAACGACAATGATTAGCCATAGTCCCTAAATCAGTGAAGGATTATTCCTTTTTATCCGGATGGATTCTTTCACACACCCCTTTTTGTGACCAGCATTGCGTTTCAAACTGAAAAATATGGGTATCATTCCATCGGATGTTTGGACCTGGGGCCCGTTTCATAATTTAAAAAAATCTATAACAATTGCTTAATTTCTATGATAAATTTGCTCTCAGCCAATCAGATGCCATGATTTCAGTAGCTTATAACAGTAGCTTGTAACCTGTTATTGATATCAAGTTTTATGAAACAGGGCCCAGTATTGAGGGTGTGTTCAGCTACTGCTGGATGAGATAGATGCTCAATCTGAGGGCTCTTAATTTTGTGCTCATTTATAAGGATTAATCCTACACGGAATAGGGATTCTGACTGTTCTTTAAAGGTAATACAAAGTTTTGGGAAATTTTGAATTTGGGTGGAGAGTGATTCTTTACCATTTTTAATATATATTTGGATGCCCCTGTGGATGTATTATAAGCACTAGAAAAATAAGCCCCTAAAACACTTTTGCTTTCGAGAAAAATTGAATATAAAAATTTACCGGTGCTCCCGGTAAATTTTGATAAATTGCAAATAGCGCCTATACGGCCGTACAATATATCAGAATACGTAGTTGTGATATATAATTTCCAAACGGGAAGAGCTAATCGGTCGATTTTAGTCAAGAAACATTGTTTCATAACTTAATTAATATCTTGACCTTGAGAAGGAGCTATACAACATAAAAAGTTTATTATTTACAATTTCAAAACTTTAGACTCGTTTTCAACCGCAACTACGATCACTTAATATTGTAGAATCGCATTTGCTTCCATTATGTTCATTTGAATCAAATTCATGACCCCATACCAAAACTTTGTATTACCTTTAATTGTGTACATGAATGTGAGTCTGCATGATTGTGTAAGGGTGAGGTTGAGTGAGTTGGAGATGGTGGGGTGGGATAAGGATTTGGGGAGGGGGTATTATTATTACTGAATTATTTCATTTTCACGATCATAATGTATGATTGTACATGTATTAAAGATTGAAAGGAGAGTAGTAACAAACAGCATGCATATTTGATTGCAGGTAATAATAGAACTGAAACAAACACAACTTAATGAATACATATCGAATGCAGTATTCATATAGCAGTCAGGAGAATCAATTTTTTCAGGTTCAAATTGATATTCTGAAAGAAAAGAAAAAGAAAAATATATACACAAAATGGATAGTTGAATAACGAAACCAGAAGAACATAACAGGGAAAAAAAGAATAATGAGTTGAATCTTGAAATACACTCTGTGATTGTTGCCAGGAAATTATCTAATGGTTACAAGTTACATGTACATGCATAACAGAAGAAACAAAGATTAAGGACAAGAGTAAAACAAGTGAGAAAAAAAAAATCACCTCTTCAGACTGGCAAGATCTGCTTCTGATGAGATGATAATTGATGTTGAATTTCCACCTGTCGCTTTGACTTGAGCAAAGATCCTGCCATCACTAGTCCATGTGCTCTCCAAATAGGAATTAGCACACAGATTTGAACACTTTTGTTGTTGTTGATGATGATGATGATGATGATGATTATCATTTATTTGTATTATTCTTATCTTATTATTATTATTTGTAGTGTTATTATATCATCAATATTATTATAACAATTATTATTATTATTATTTCTGATACATGTATTATTATCATGAGAATTAGTAATTTAATTTCTAATAATATAATACAGGAGGAGCCTCGATCTTGGTGTAAACTTCTCTTTTGTTTCTGTTTGATATTTATTATATTTCTCGTTGATCTTTTGAATATGTTATAAAACTGTTCATCTTCAGAACCAGAATTAAACTGAAAAAGTATCGGAACTGCATAAAAACGAATCAATCGTGTTTTTATATTGAATGTATCTTGTGTCCCCCTTGTGTCTGATTCAAATGTAGTTTATGATATGCTCTAGTAGGAAAACTATATTATTAAATTTTAACTGAGCATAAATCTATACAAAGACGATACATAATTGAACATTAAAGTGTACAACTGTATAAGGAAAAGGGTTTTGGGTTATTGTTCTGTTTGACACACATGCAATCATTTATAACAGGTCGGGGTTAGTGTGATTTCAAAGTGCAAACTATCAAGACTCTCTCAGGGGCCGCATAGTGCCATTTTGAAAGGGGTTGGGGTGGGGAGTACGACCGAGCTTACGACTGATATAATTCTTTCATAATTTTAAAGTATCATGAAGTCTGCTCAGCTCCCCCCTCATTGTGCGGCCCTATTCTTGCATAATTTTGTAGTATTTGTGCCAGATACGATAACACTTAGTAAATAGAATATCAGAAGCGGATCTAGAGGGGGGGGGGGGGGGGGGGTTGGGGGGGGTTGCAACCCCCCCAAAAAAAAAAAATCAAAAAATCCGGGGACCATTTTTTTAAATCTTATCTTTTTTTTTAAACTTGTAATTTTATTTTATTCTATTTCTATGTATTTATTTCATTTATTATTATTATTATTATTATTATTATTATTATTATTATTATTATTATTATTATTATTATTATTATTATTATTATTATTTATTTTGGGGGGGGAGGGGGGGGGGGTTGGGCGAACAAATGTCACAGAGTCCCTTGCCAGGCGCGGATCTACGGGGGGGGGGTTTAGGGGTTTAAACCCCCCCTGGGGCGGCCCAAAAAAACAAACAAAAAAAAAAGGGGGGAAAAAAGAAAAAAAAAAGAAAGAAAAAAGAACGCACGCTGGAGAGAAACCCTTTCAAGTGCAAATATTGTGAGAAGATATTCAACTCATCTGGTAACTTAACCAAACACATGATAACTCTGGATATAACTGTGTATTTAACTGTTACTTGATTTAAAAAGACGTTATCATGCTCTGCTTTTTATGGTCTCCATTGTGTTAATAGATGCCAGGAAAACATCACTTACGGGGTTCAAATAAACCCCCCCAAAAAAATCGGCTCGCCGCTTCGCGGCTCGTGGACGATGCTCTGCATCGTCATTATTTTGGTCAACCCCCCCCCCCTTAGCAAAAAGCTAGATCCGCCCCTGATGATGCTCTGTTAAACGCCTGGAATTTTTACACCTATTACAATCGCAAAGTTGTTAGAATAGTTTGACATTAAGCGATTAGACCCTGGGTTCCAGGCTATAAAAATTCCTAACCTAAATAATTTCTTTTAATAATAAGACAAGAATGTTCCGGTATCTGTGATGGGGGAAAATTGCCAATTCCAGCTGCTGCCATTATTGCGTATCATTAAACAAGTTCTCATTCAGCCTTTTTGGGCGGTATTTTTCGTGTTT